GCCAAACAAAGTTCTGGGCTGCATAAAACAGAGGATAGACAATCAAGACTCATGTGACGTGTCTAATACACTGCTTTATCATGCCTTGGGTAAGGCCTTACTCTGGCAATCCTGCATCCAGTTTTGGTTCGCCACAATGTAAAAAAGATGTGGAGGCTCTAGAAAGAGTGCAGAGAAGATCAACAAAGATGTTGAGGGGACTGGAGGCTAAAACATATGAAGAACGGTTGCAGGAACTGGGTATGTCTAATTTGATGAAAAGAAGGACCAGGGGAGACATGATAGCAGTCTTCCAATATCCCAGGGGCTGCCCCAAAGAAGAGGGAGTCCAGCGATTCTCCAAAGCACCTGAAGGCAGGACAAAAGAAGCAATGGGTGGAAAACTATCAAGGAGAAAAACAACTTAGAACTAAGGAGGAATTTCCTGACAGTTAGAGCAATTAATCAGTTGGAACAACTTTCCTATAGAAACTGTGAATGCTCCAACACTGGAAGTTTTTAAGAAGAGGTTGGATAACCATTTGTTTGAAGTGGTGTAGGGTTTCCTGCCTAAGCAGGGGGTTGGACTAGAAGACCTCCAAGGTCCCCCACCAAGCCATGCCCACAGAACCAGTAGTAACAAATTTTACATTTCACCCTGGATCACTCAGAACTGAAGAAGCTTCTGGGATGAGAAGCAAAACCTCTTCAAGAAAAAAAAAAAAAAACAGAAAGTCCAGTTGCCTTTTGAAAAAAAAGCACTGTTGTAATAACCATGACCAGGATGACTGAATCTCCATAGACATCACAACTTTATCTCTTAAATCTCTTAAAACCGAGCCTCGGTGGTGCAGCGGACTAAAGTGCTGTTAAGTGCTAGCACTTAGCCGCCAGCTGCCTGCAATTAGTGCAAGTTCGAATCTCACCAGGCTCAAGGTTGAATCAGCCTTCCATCCTTTCTAAGGTAGGTTAGTTAGTTAATTAGTTAGTTAGTTAGTTTGTTAGTTAGTTAGTTAGTTTATAATATTATATTTATATTTGTCCGAGGGACTCAGGACAGTGAACAGCCATGGTAAAAAATGTACAACAAAAAATTAAAAGCTTATTAAAATAATTCAATCATTCGGTCAAATTTAAAACATCCAACTAAGATCATTTTAAAACCCCTATCTAAACTCAATTTAAAAAACCTTTATCCTGTCAGTCCAGCTTGCTGGAATAATAGGGTCTTCAGAGCGCAACGGAAGGCACGGAGGTCGGGGATCCTTCGTACGTCCGGGGGCAGTTCATTCCATAGGGCGGGGCCCCCACAGAGAAGGCTCTCCCCTGGGGGTTGCCAGCCTACACTGTTTGGCTGACGGCACCTGAGGAGGCCCTCTCTGTGGGAGCGTATTGGTCGGTGGGAGGCAGGCAGAATGCGGTCCTGTAGATAACCAGGTCCTAAGCCATGGAGCGCTTTAAAGGTGGTAACCACACCTTGAAGCGCACCCGGAAGACCACCGGGAGCCAGTGCAGCTCGCGCAAGATGGATGTTACATGGGAGCGACGAGTTGCCCCCATTATTACTCGTGTGGCTGCATTCTGGACCAGCTGGAGCCTCCGGGTGCTCCTCAAGGGGAGCCCCATGTAGAGAGCATTACAATAGTCCAGCCGGGAAATTGTGGACCTGGATTGTGGGGGCAATAAGCCAACTTTGTATAGAACAACACCGCTTAGGGGGGGCCGAAAGCCCCAATAAGCAGGTATATACAAAAAAGTATGCAGGCTATTGCTTAATGCATTGTAAGCCGCCCTGAGTCTACGGAGAAGGGCGGCATATAAATTGGACTAATAAATAAATAAATGGGATCTCAGATCCCATTTCTGGAGCTGCAAAAATCTGTGTTCCTCTTCATCAAACAGAAGATCTGAGATCCTTGGTCGTTGCCTTTTAATCTAGACTTTTCCTGCCCTTGAACTAATCTTTAGCCTTTCTTCTTAATCTTGGAAAAAAATAAAACCCTGCCACCAGCACCTGACATTTCTATTACCAAGCTACTTTTGGCATAACCCAAACAAAGAACACATCAAAAGGGAAACGATGTGAGAAGCTGCATTCTATTAATATTATTACATAGATTTGCATGCTAATATTTCACTCGGAATGAGGGGGAGCAGAGCCTCCGGAGATGAAAATAAAATAAATAAAAATAAATTTAAATTTAAATTGTGTTTAAAACTTGACTGTTAGAAGGATCAGGTAGCAAATATGGCCTAATTGAAAAGTGAAGGAATATGTGCTGATCTGAATATGTATTAATAATGTCATACAAAATACTATATTATTATACATTTTGACTTGTATTAATATTGCGTTATGTGAGGTAGCAAAGATTGAACAATTGAAAAATGAAGGAATATGTGCTGATCTGAATATGTATAACATATTTTGTTATTTATACTATAATACTATATAATATATAATATAATATATATATATATTATAATATAACATATTATGTTATTAATAATATACAAAATATTATATTATTAATATAATACATTAATGTTGGGTTATGTGAGGTAGCAAAGATTGAATAATTGAAAAATGAAGGAATATGTGCTGATCTGAATATGTATAACAGCATATTTTGTTATTAATACTTTGATAATATATATTATATTATTATATATATTATAATATATAACATATATGATATTAATATCATACAAAATATTATATTAGTAATATAATAATACATTTTGACTTGTATTAATGTTGGGTTATGTGAGGTAGCAAAGATTGAACAATTGGAAAATGAAGGAATATGTGCTGATCTGAATATGTATAACAACATATTTTGTTATTAATACTATAATAATATATAATATTATATTATTATATATATTATAACATATAATAACATATATTGTGTTATTAATAATATACAAAATATATTATTAATATAATAATACATTTTGACTTGTATTAATGTTGGGTTATGTGATGAAGCAAATATTGAATAATTAGAAAATGAAGAATATGTGCTGATCTCAATATGTATAATAACATATTTTGTTAATACTATAAGAGTATATAATATTATATTATTATATATATATTTATTTTATTTTTATTTTATTTTAATTTAATTTAATTTGTATACCGCCCTTCTCCCAAAGGGACTCAGGGCGGTGAACAGCCAAAATTAAAATACATACAATACAAAAGTTAAGATAATTAAAAGAGATTAAATCAATCGGCCTCCCAATTTAAAACCCCAAGTCTATAAAATATAAAAATCCCATTAAAAACCATTTAGGCTAGGCCTACAGTTATATATTATAATATATCATTATAATATATAATATATAATTATACATTATAATATATAACATATATTGTGTTAATAATATCATACAAAATACTATATTATTAATATAATTTTGACTTGTATTAATGTTGGGTTATGTGAGGTAGCAAAGATTGAATAATTGAAAAATGAAGGAATATGTGCTGATCTGAATATGTATAACAACATATTTTGTTATTAATACTATAATATATATTATATTATATATATTATATATATATTAGAATATATATTAGAATATATCATAGCATATATTGTTATTAATAATATAATACAAAATATTATGTTATTAATATAATAATACATTTTGATTTGTATTAATGTTGGGTTTTGTAACAAAACGAATGGCGCTCAGACGCCACAGTGTCCATGCAGTGATATGGGTAGGTAACAGTAACAACAGTTGGGAGGGACCCTTGGAGGTCATCTATTCCAACCCCCTGCTCACGTGTGATGTAGCAAATATTGCATAATTGAAAAATGAAGGAATATGTGTTGATCTAAATATGCATAATAACATTAGACCATGTAAGTTTGACTAATGTAGACATTTTGACTTGTATTAATGTTGGGTTTTGTAACAAAACGAATGGCGCTCAGACACCACACTGTCCATGCAGTGATATTGATAGGTAACAGTAACAGAGTTGGAAGGGTATCTCGGAGGCCATCTACTCCAACCCCCTGCTCACGCAGGAGACCTATGCTTAGGGATTCGAACCGCCGAACTGCCGACCTTTCTGATCGACAAGCTCAGCGTCTTAATATTGATGTATGTTTAAAAATAAAAAACTTTAACCCCGCCCCCCCAAGAAAACCTTGTTTTTTGGGGTGCAGCTCTTCCCCTGGAGACCCAAAGGGTGTCAACCCCCCCCTTGAAGTTAAGACTCCTCTGTTGATTGCCCTCCCCCTAAAAAAACTCTGGGTCTCTGCCTTGTCCTCACTTCGGGGGGAGGGGGGAAATCTGGTTATTCAGCAACCAGCCCGGTTCAATCATTTATTTATTTAATCCGCGGTTGCGGAGAGGGAGGGGGGGCGATCCCGGAGGGCAGCCAAACACAAAATCGGCGTTTAAGGAAACTAAAACCTGTAGCTTTTGGTGCTTAAAACAAAACAAAATAAACGTTATTTAGATTTTTTCAGGTAAATACAAACCAAACACTTTCCATGGTGAACCTAGAGCAGAGGTCAGAGGTCTGGAGCCGCATGTGGCTCTTTCACCCTTCTGCTGCGGCTCCCTGTCACTCAAAATATGTGTCACCACTGCCAATGTGCGACACCCGCCAGCATGTGTTTTATTGAGCTTTTCAACCCCTGGTAGGCCAACCATGGATAAGTCCAAGAAAGGAAAAATTTCAGAAGAAAACAGAACGTTTGGTGGCCGCTCAAGAAATCGTCAGGCATAGGAAGGGTTTTGTGGCTCCCGGTGTTTTCTTTTTGGTGGGAAACGGGTCCAAATGGCTCTTTTGAGTGTTTAAGGTTGCAGACCCCCGACCTAGAGAGGCTGCCGGCCGAATTTAGCAAAACGTTTTTGTTTTTTAAAAAATAATTTTTATTCAGCATTTACATCTTTAACATCTAATTGAACGATTTAGCAAAACTTGAATGCGTGCAAGTCGTTTCGGATGGCCGAGTGGGGGAGGACTCTGCCCATGCCCAGATATAACCATGGCATCCTGTGACAGAGCCCCCAGGGCTTGCTTGGCGTGAATGAGGGGCTTCCTGATTGAGAATTTTACCAGGTTGAGAAACTGAGGCCGTTACCGTGCTGTGAAGAGAACGATTCTTCCGATACACTGCTCTTAAACCGGGAGGTTCCATCGACCTGCTCAAGAAGGCCGAAAGCTTCCAGATTTACGAAGAAGAGCCCCGACTGCCTTCCCGAGGAGGTCGGTCGATGGAACCTCCAGGCTTAGGAGAAGTGTATCGGAAGAGTCGTTGGTCTCTCTCTTTTCCTTCTTTCGTTTCTTGAGTTTGCTCTTCCAAATATGTCTCCTCCTCCTTTCTTCCCCCCCCCCTTCAGTTAAAATAGCCACCAAGGCCAATCCGTGGGATGGCAAAACCCTGAAGGCCCAGAGCGTCCGCTCCCAGCTGGACGAGTCCCTTCAGCGTCTGCGGCTCCCGAGTGTGGACCTCTTCTACCTCCACGCCCCAGATCATGAGACCCCCGTGGAAGAGACGCTGCGGGCCTGCAATGAGCTTCACAGAGAGGTACGGAGTTCAGGAGTGGGTGGTGGGAAAACCTCGGGTGACAGGAGGCAGCCACGCGGCCAAAGAGTTTGAGAAGTGGGCATCCCCTCCGCCAGGCTAGATGCCCCCTCTCTCTCCCCGATGTACGGAAGCGAACTGGAGGGATCCTCGGAGACCATCTGGTCTGACCCAGAGGGGCCGTGGTTCCTGACAGATGCGGTGCGCGAACTCTGTCTCCGCCAGTGTTGGGGTTACAGCCCCCCATTCCTCAGCCAGAGGGCTCGGTGCCCTTGATTCCGACGGCAGTATAAATAGGAATATTGGAATAAGAATTTTGGAATGAAGCAAAAGGCGAAGAGGTGATAAGGAAAACTTTGGACTGTACGGAGATGGATAAATTGACGAAAGAAAGAAAAGGAAAAGATGAAACGGAATATTACTTAACATGGGAAAAATGGTATGGTTAGGGGACAGGAATAACAAACAAGAAAAGACGTAACAGATGACCTAGAAATCAGGAAACATCAGCAATATTATTATTATTATTATTATTATTATTATTATTATTACTATTATCATCATCATCATCATCATCATCATCATCATCATCATCATCATCATCATCATTTTGATTTATATGCCGCCCTTCTCCGGAGACTCAGGGCGGCTTACAAGACGTTATGCAATAGCCGTCATACTTTTGTATATTTTATTAAATATATAATATATGTAAAGTAACACAGGGATATAATAGTATGCATAATAAGTAAGGAGTAGTATATATAATATATAAGGAATAAGGGAACCACAAAAATGAATATCTGAATATGTAGGGGGGGGGGGAATATAAACTGTGGATGTACACCGATACGGAACTGTTGTAAAATGGAAATTTTTCTTTTGTTTTTGAAGAAAAAATAATAATTTTTTTTTTAAAAAAATTGGAATGAAGAGAAGAATGGAATGGAATAGAAAATATGGAATGGAATGGAATAAAGAATTAGGGTAGGGTAGGGTAGAAAATTGGAATATAGAATAGAGTAGAGCAAGATTATAATTAGAAAGAATAGAATAGAATAGAATAGAATAGAATAGAATAGAATAGAATAGAATAGAATAGAAAATATGGAATGGAATGGATTGAAGAAGAGTAGAATAGAATAGAATAGAATAGAAAATATGGAATGGAATGAATAGAATAAAATAGAACAAGGAATAGAAATAGAATAGAATAGAATAGAATAGAATAGAATAGAAAATATGGAATGGAATGGAATAAAGAATTAGGGTAGGGTAGGGTAGAAAATTGGAATATAGAATAGAGTAGAGCAAATTATAATTAGAAAGAATAGAATAGAATAGAATAGAATAGAATAGAAAATATGGAATGGAATGGATTGAAGAAGAGTAGAATAGAATAGAATAGAATAGAATAGAATAGAATAGAATAGAATAGAATAGAATAGAAAATATGGAATGGAATGAATAGAATAAAATAGAACAAGGAATAGAAATAGAATAGAATAGAATAGAATAGAATAGAATAGAATAGAATAGAATAGAATAGAAAATATGGAATGGAATGGATTGAAGAAGAGTAGAATAGAATAGAATAGAATAGAATAGAATAGAATAGAATAGAATAGAATAGAATAGAATAGAATAGAATAGAAAATATGGAATGGAATGAATAGAATAAAATAGAACAAGGAATAGAAATAGAATAGAATAGAATAGAATAGAATAGAATAGAATAGAATAGAATAGAAAATATGGAATGGAATGGAATAAAGAATTAGGGTAGGGTAGGGTAGAAAATTGGAATATAGAATAGAGTAGAGCAAATTATAATTAGAAAATAGAATAGAATAGAATGAATAGAATAGAATAGAATAGAATAGAATAGAATAGAATAGAATAGATTAACAGAGTTGGAAGGGACCTTGTAGGTCATCTAGTCCAACCCCCATCCGCCCAAGCAGGAGACCCTACACCATTTCTGACAGGTGGCAGTCCAGTCTCTTCTTGAAAGAGGGATGAAGCTCCAACTACTTCTAGAAGCAACTTCTGTTCCATGGTTTGATTGTTCTGTCAGAAAATTCCTCCTTATTTCCAGGTTGAACCTCTCCTTGGTCAGTTTCCATCCATTGTTCCTTGTCTGGCCTTCGAGTGCTTTGGAGAATAGTTTGACCCCCTTCCTCCTCTCTGGGGCAGCCTCTCAAATATTGGAAGATGCTCTCATGTCTCCCCCGGTCCTTCTCTTCACTAGACTAGCCATGCCCAGTTCCTGCAACCGTTCACCGTTACATTTTAGCCTCCGGTCCCCTCACCATCTTGTTTGATGGCCTGTGAGCAGATACTTGAAATTACGACCTAAAATGACAGGATGATTGATTTATCCCTCGACAGGGGAAGTTCAAAGCGCTTGGCTTGTCCAATTACGCCTCTTGGGAGGTGGCGGAAATCTGCACCCTTTGCAAAGCCCACCAATGGCTACTGCCGACGGTGTACCAGGTAAGGGAGGCCGGTTCGCCGGGCCGCTTGCGATCGGTGGCTGCGAAACGTGCAGAGCGATTCTTTCTTTGTCCTGGTTTGGGTGAAGTCTTGAAGGGTTTCTTTATTTTATTTTTTCCCTGTTTGAACCCAGGGCATGTACAATGCGACCACGCGGCAGGTGGAGAAGGAGCTACTCCCCTGTCTCAGGCACTTCGGAATCAGCTTCTACGCTTACAATCCTCTAGCCGGTACGGAGTGGGAAGGAATTTTATATAAAAACCCCAAAGCTTTACTTGTGGAATTGCAAGACGGGTGAAAGGATGATGGGCATTTAAGTGGCAGATCTCAAGACTTTGATGTTTCTTTTTTCTTTTTTTAAATTAAATTAAATTTAATTTAATACAAACAATCCATCTTTGTGTCGTCTGGGCGCAAATAATTTGTGCATAATTAGAATTTACAACTTGTTCATTATTTAATCTACTCTTAGTAAGAATTCCAATGCTTCAAATAGCTAATACTCTAACAATCCTCTTCTTAATTTATTAAACTCTATTAATTTTATTTATTTATTTATTTGTTTTAATTTGTATACCGCCGTTCTCCAGCAGGACTCAGGGCGGTGAACAGCCAGAATAAAACAGAACATACAAAATTTAAAAACAGTTTAAAATAATTAAATATTTTGGCCACAATTTAAAACAATCCAATTAAAATCAATTCAATTTAACCAAAATAGTGGGATCAAGCCAGCCCGGCTAGGTGAAATAAATAAGTTTTCAGGGCCCGACGAAATTATACTAATAATTATACTAATACATATACTAATAATTATACTAATACATTTCTAGATTTCACTCATCTACTTTTATTTCTAACTTTTATATTTGTTCTCTAACCATCGATAAAATAACTCCCCTATAATATAGCATGCCATTCGTTCTTGCTCTTTGATTGCCAGTGTTAACCTATTCATTTCTGCGCATTCTAATATTTTCCTAATCACGTTCTCCTCTGTAGGGGATCTCTTCACTTTTCCAGTTTTGTGCAAATACAATTCTAGCTGCAGTTATTAACACAAATAATCAAATATACATTTTCTTTACTATAAGTTTCTTGTAAAATCCCCAACAGGAATAATTCAGGTTTCAAATCAATATATTGTTGTATCATCTTCTCCAACCATGTCTGTATTTTTGAAGACTTTGATGTTTTTTGAACAGGAGGGCTCCTGACGGGGAAATACAAATACGAAGACAAAGACTTAAGCCAACCACCAACTGGCAGGTTTTTTGGGAACGACTGGGCCAGAGTCTATCGGGACCGGTGAGTCTCCACATAGCAGAAGGGACTAGCACCGTGATGGCGAACCTATTATTATTATTATTATTAATAATAATAATAATTTTATTTCTATACCGCCCTTCTCCCGGAGGACTCAGGGTGGTGTACAGCCTGATTAAAAGCACAAAGACAGACAAAAATTTAAAATAATTAAAATTATTAAATGATAGGCTCAATTTAAAACCCCAAATTTAAAATCCCATTTTTAAAACCCAATTAAAATCTTTACCTTGATAGCCCAGCCTGGCGGAACAACAAGGTTTTGAGGGCACAGCGAAATACACGGAGATCAGAGATTTTACGAATTTCTGGGGGCAGCTCATTCCAAAGGGCAGGGGCTCCCACAGAGAAGGCCCTCCCCCTGGGTGTCGCCAGCCGACATAATTTGGCCGATGGCATGGGTACCACAGGTGGCACACAGAGCTGTATCAGTGGGCACGCGAGCATTGCTGTAGCTCAGCTCCAGCGGGCATGTGTGTGCCGGCCAGCTGATTTTTGGGCCTTTCGGTCTCACTGGAAGTTGGGAAATGAGCTGTTTCCGGCCTCTGGAGGGCCTCTGGGGGTGGAGGCTGTTTTTGCCCTCCCCAGGCTCCTAGAAAGCCTCTGGAGCCTGAGGGTGAAAAATGGGCCTACCGGGCCCTCTGTGCCATCACGTGCTAAAGCAGGGGGGGGCATACATGCACAGGGGCGGGACACATTTAATTATGGCTGTGGGCACGCTTTAAAAAAAGTAAAAAAAAAAGTTCTGACGATCAGGTGTGACAATCAGCTTTGCTTCACGATCGTCGGAACTTTTTTTTTACTTTTTTAAGCATTTTTTTTACTACCGGTTCGGGCGAATTGTTAGTAAAAAATGCTTTAAAAAGTTAAAAAAAAAAAAAGTTGGCCATGCCCACTGTCACATGACACCCCCCAAGTCACGCTGACAGAACTGGTAGGGGAAAAAAAATTGCATTTTACTACTGGTTGGGGTATTAGTGTGTGTGTATGTTTTTTTTTTTAAATACCCCAGGTATTGGAAGCAGCACCATTTTGATGGAGTGTCCTTGATCCAAAGCGCCCTCCGTGAAGCGTATGGCGCAGATCCTCCCACTTTGACCTCCGCTGCCCTGCGCTGGGTCTACCATCACTCAGAACTGCAGGTAAGGCCAAACTCCTGGAAATAATATTAAGAAATGAGTCTTTGCTCTATTGATCTAGGGCAGGGGTCTGCAACCTTAAACACTCAAAGAGCCACTTGGACCCGTTTCCCACCGAAAAGAAAACACCGGGAGCCACAAAACCCCTTCCGGTGCCTGACTATTTCTTGAGCGGCTACAAAACTAGCATATGTAGTTGAATTAAACCTTCTGTTTTCTTCTGAAACTTTTCTTTTCTTGGATTTATCCATGGTTGGCCTACCGGGGGGTCGAAAAACTCAATAAATCACGTGCTGGTGGGTGTCGCATGTTGGTGTTTGTGACGCGTATTTTGAGTGACAGGGAGCCGCAGCAGAGGGGTGAAAGAGCCACATACGGGCTCCAGAGCCACAGGTGGAGATCCTCAGCCATCCAGGTCATGGTTGTCCCAAAGCTGGATTTTTCAAGAGGCAACTGGATTTTCTGGTTTTTCCTTTGAAACACGCTGCCAACAGCCAAGGACCAAAACAAGGCACCACTGAGCGGGAGACGAGGAGGAGACGGCTGGAGAAGATGAGCTGAGCCTCACCGTCCTTCTTGCGCTTCCCCCTGGGTGAAGGATGCGCGATGAGGCCATGAATTTAGCTAGCCAGAGTGGTGAGATGGGCAACTGCTTTATGCCAACTTCAACCAGAACAGCTGGTTGAAGTTGGCAGCGTGATTAAAACAAAAACAAAAAAAACACCAAGAGAACTAGTTTGCTTCTTGAAAAAGCATCTTTGGGACATCTCTGAGAAACGTGGGTCTAGATGAATCACAATTTGGAATTAAGATTGCCGGGAGAAATATCAACAACCTCAGATATGCTGATGAGACCACTCTAATGGCAGAAAGCAAAGAGGAACTAAAGAGCCTCTTGATGCGGGTGAAGGAGGAGAGTGCAAAAGTTGGCTTGAAACTCAACGTTAAGAAAACTTAAGATCATGGCATCCGGCCTTCTCAATTCCTGGCAAATAGATGGGGAAGAAATGGAGGTAGTGACAGATTTTATTTTCCTGGGTTCCAAGATCACCGCAGATGGGGACTGCAGTTAAGAAATCAAAAGACGCTTGCTCCTGCTATGGCAAATCTAGACAGCATCCTAAAAAGCAGAGACATCACCCTGCCAACAAAAGAGAGTACAGTCAAGGCGATGGTTTTCCCAGTTGCAATGGATGGCTGTGAAAGTCGGACCACAAGGAAGGCTGAGCGCCAAAGAATGGAGGCCTTTGAACTCCGGTGCTGGAGCAGACTCCTGAGAGTCCCTTGGACTGCAAGGCCATCAAACCAGTCGGTCCTAGAGGAGATCAACCCTGATTGCTCTTTGGAAGGCCAGATCCTGAAGAGGAAACTCAAATCCTTTGGCCACTTAATGAGAAGGAAGGACTCACGGGAGAAGAGCCTAATGGTGGGAACGATGGAGGGCAAAAGAAGGAGGGGACGGCAGAGAACGAGGTGGCTGGATGGAGTCACTGAAGCACGGTGTGAGATTAAATGGACTCCAGGGGATGATAGAGGACAGGAAGGCCTGGAGGAACGTTGTTCACGGGGTTGCGATGAGTCGGACACAACTTCGCAACTAACAAAAACTAGTGAGGTTTTTAAGAGCAAGCTTTTGGCCTTTCCTCCGCTAAATCTGTCTTTAGTGGAGGAAAGTTTCAGATCTCCTTAACTTTTTTCTGTGGGGCGATGAAAAAGCGATGCCTTCTATTTTCAACCCAAATCCTTCTCCTGGCATGACTTTTATTCCTCTTTGATCTGGCTGCTCATGCAGTTTATTCCTCTCTTCCCTCCCTCAGGAGAAATACGGAGACGCTGTGATTATTGGCATGTCCAACATGGACCAGTTGCAGGAAAATCTCCGTTCCAGCGAGGAGGGGCCTCTCGTCCCGAGCGTGGTGGAGGCCTTCGAGAAAGCCTGGCATCTCACGGCCCACGACTGCCCCAACTACTTCCGCTGAAGGCGTGGCCAAGGGGCAGAGTGGGGTCTCCATTCTTGGGTAAAGCGGAATTAAAACGGCGCCTGCTGCAGGCACGAATCCGAATGTTGAATTATTGGGTTCCACAAACTACTTTAACCGGTTATAAAGACAACGGAACGCGCTGTAAGTTCTTTTTATAGATTTTATAGCCATTCATATAGGTAAAGGTTTCCCTCACGCCTATGTGCTAGTCGTTCCCGACTCTAGGGGGCGGTGCTCCTCTCCGTTTCAAAGCCGGAGAGCCAGCGCGGTCCGAAGACGTCTCTGTGGTCATGTGGCCGGCGTGACTCAATGCCAAAGGCGCACGGAACGCTGTGCCCTTCCCACCAAAGGTGGTCCCTATTTTTCTACTTGCATTTTTTTTTTTTTACGTGCTTTTGAACTGCTAGGTTGGCAGAAGCTGGGACAAGTCACGGGAGCTCACCCCGTTACGTAGGGATTCAAACCGCCGACCTTTCGATCGACAAAAAGAAGCAGACATACTGCGAACTCCGGAACGTAAGAGTTTTAAAATTTTAAAAGAATTAAAATTTTATTTTACTAAGCTTTCATCAGCCATCTGCTGACGAATTTAGAATAGTTTGTAATATATATATATATATATATATACATTCACACTCTTAGAAGTCATATTATGACAGGATCCTTATTAGTTCAGTCCTCCATTAAGAAGAGAGCATGAGTTATGAAGCTCTTAAAAAACCCAAGGTCTATTCGTATTTCTTCTGCCCTAATTTTCTTCATTACTTGCATCTCCCTCCTCCTCTTTCTCTTCCTCCTCCATCTCTCCTGAAGGGTCCTCCTCAGTGGGGGTCTCCAGCTGTTCAAATTCTCCCGTCTCGGCATCCCACATGCTCCTGATCATCACATTAAAGTCGGCCATGGCGTATCCAAAGAGTTTCTGAAATTAAAAGCATGACGGTCTCAAATCACGGCACTCGGAACGGGAAAATCGTTTCGTGCGCGTTGATAGTCTTAAAAAGTACAGAATAAAATTGGGAAGGCCTCTGTAGCAGCAGCTCCTTGGCTGCCCAGAAAACTAAACTTCAAAGCTTCAGGATCAAAGAACTAGGGCCCTGATGGTGAACAGGTGGCATGCAGCACCCTCTCTGTGGGCACGCGAGCTGTCGCCCCAGTTCAGCTCCATCGTGCATGCGCGCACGCCTCCCACCAGCCAGTTGGTTTCGGGTCTGTGCCGTGCATGCACGGAGCCGCACAGGCATTGCATTTTGGGGGTTTGGGCGCGCGCATTAACAGAAGGATTGAATTAAGATCAAGGGAGGTACTAACACCACCCTATAAAGCCTTAGTAAGACCACACCTAGAATCCTGCATCCAGTTTTGGTCACCACACTATAAAAAAGATGTTGAGACTCTAGAAAAAGTGCAGAGAAGAGCAACCAAGAGGATTAGGGGACTGGAGGCTAAAACATACAATGAACAGTTGCAGGAACTGGGCATGGCTGGTCTAGTGAAGAGAAGGACCAGGGGAGACAGGAGAGCATCTTCCAGTATTTGAGGGGCTGCCCCAGAGAGGAAGGAGGTCAAGCTATTTTCTAAAGCACCCAAAGGTCAAACAAGGAATAATGGATGGAAGAGAGATTCAACTAGAAATAAGGAGGAATTTTCTGACCGTGAGAACAATCAACCCATGGAACAGAAGTTGCCTTCGGAAGTTGTGGGAGCTTCATTACTTGAGACTTTCAAGAAGAGACCAGACTGCCATCTGCCAGAAATGGTGTAGGGTCTCCTGCTTGGATGGGGAGGGGGTTGGACTAGATGACCTCCAAGGTACCTTCCAACTCTCTTAATATAGGGGAAATCTAATGGAAAAAAATGCAGCTATGGATCGTCTGCAGCCGGTCACTCACCAAGATGCGAGCTTGGTCTGGGGTCAGGATGTCCCCCTCTTTGCAAACCTCATAATCGGAGAGAAGCGTCACTACACCTAAGGAAAGGGGGGGGGGAGAGGAAAAACCAGGAGAAAAATGAAGGCAGGTTGCCGGAGAATGAAACTTCGCCAATTTTATTTATTTCAAGATTACGTTCCCAACCTTTTTTCAGGGCTGTGGGCAATCCGAGCTGCCTCAGCTGAGGTTCCATGGAATGGGAAAACTGCTCCAGGGGTCCCATATCTAAATTGACTGTGAAGGTGGCCTTGTTTCCAGCCCGGGCAAAATCGGTTTCTCTGAACTGGGAAAACCACCTGCAAAAGAAAAAAAAAAGAGAGAGGGGTGGAATTGAAAATTCATAGGGACTAGCAACTCTGTTCTTGCATCCTCCTGTAGTAACACCTGGACAGCGAGAGGTGAGGAGATAAAGGTGGAAGGAAGAATTACCAATTTTTTTTTTTTCAAGAAACGCTATAGGGACGGTGAGTGCAGATGGCTAAAAACAGGAATACAGAGCAACTGATTCTACAACTAACCAGCAATTGCTGCAAAGTGATAATCATCTCTCTTCTAGGTTGTATTTTGTTTCCGAGAGCAGAAACGGCGTAGAATTCAGATACCGCGCAGCGGTGGGTTTCACATTATGTTACTATCGGATTGCCATACGTTCCCCCGGTCCGCGCACATGCTTGCCTTCCACGCCTGGTCTCAAAAATGTGCCTAAATAGGACGGCATACAGCCAGGGCAGGTGGGCAGGCCCATCTGCGATTTTTGCTGCCGCTTCGGGCAAACCGGTCTGAACCAGCTGAATACGACCTCTGGATAATGGGGCACAGTTCTTCTAAAAAAGCTTCCACTAAAAGCTTCCAAAATCCCACCCACCCCAAAAATCCAGTTTTTCCTAGTTGAAATCTTTGGCTGTTCTTTTTTGGGGGAAAAAAAAACTTACTTTATAACTTCATCTTTGGTGCGATTCGTGAAAAGGAGGCCGACTTCCCCTCGCAGATGCTTGCTGACCTAAAAGGACGAAAGACCAGGTGATTAAATGACTTTTCTCCAGGGTGAGGATGGGGGGGGCTTCAGGATACTGAGACCCCCCCCCCCACAGGTCTAAGGAGAAGGGCCTGCTTCATACAGCAGCCACAGGCGAGTGAAGTGAGACAGTGTTTTTTGTTGGAAATCTGGTGCTTTTACCTCGTGCAAATTGTCTTTGTATTCATCCGAAGGGCTGTGACCCAGAGCCACAATCATCACTTTGTTTTTCCCAAAAAATATCCTGGAATAAGAAGGGAAAAAAAAATTTTAGTGAAATTTCAAAAAACCCCGGATTATTATTATCTTCAGTTGCTGCTTTTCCTATTTAAATAAACGGAAGCTCGTCATGTAAAGATCTGAATGGCTGTATGGAATTTGGGCCGCTACGGTATATTCCATTAAATTCTCCGAAACTTGTAAAGTTTCAGAGAATTTAATGGAATATACAGTAGCGGCCCGAATTGTGGGAACTTTTGGGGGAAAAATGTATTTCTGAGGTTTGATGGCTAACAACACCACATTTTTTTTTTTTTTTGGAGTTTCAAGATAATCCTATTCCACTGCTGGAATAGCCTGGGAATAGCCCAGATCTTCACCCAATGGAAAATCTATGGATTTTCCAACTAAAGAAACTGGTTAGTCAGAAGCGATCCAGCAATAAAACCCAGTTAATAGAAGCCATCATTCCATCTTGGTTTCACATGATAACAGCTGCAGAACTCAAAGACTTGGTTCGCTCCATGGGAAGGCATTGTAAGGCCATCATTCGTGCTAAAGGTTACCCAACGAAGGATTAACTGACATGGGGATCATTTTTATATATCTAATTTTTTCTATGTGTTTCACTTTTCTTCTTTCTACTGTAACTGCTATTCTAACAGCAAATCCTTCATAAAAGTTATTGCATTACATTCTTGATTCAATTCTTTCCATTGATATGTAATTGTATGGTACTACTCCAAAAACAAGTTATTGTTATTACCGTGTTTCCCCGAAAATAAGACCCTGTCTTATATATTTTTTGAACCCCAAAATAAGCTCTTGGCCTTATTTTCGGGGAGGTCTTATAATTTTGGGGCTCCTGGAGCAAGACGGGGCTCCTCTTGCCGTCTTACCTGATTTCCAGCTCTGCATTTAAATATTTTTGGGGAGGGCTTATTTTCGGGGGGGAGGCTCAAAAGCCCGATTGGGCTTATTATCAGGGGATGTCTTATTTTTGGGGAAACAGAGTAGCTAGTTTTAGAAAATACATTTTTTCCAAAAGGTTTATACAATTTTGGCCACTACTGTAGGGAGGAAGGGTGTGGCTACCCCAGAGGTTTCTTCATTTTTAGAAGCCGAAATGGCAAGGTTGTGAGAGAGACAAACACACTCACCTGCTGTGTTTCCAAGCACTACGAATATCCTTCAGTTTGTTGTTTCTCATGTTGGCAATGGAGAAGATGAAGAGACGCTTGTAGGTGTCCACGCATTTTCGTAGCTAAGGACAAAAAGGATTTGGCGGTTGGTTTCGTTTTTGATTTTCCATCCCCCAAATTTTCTATCTTGAGGAAGTTTCACGGGCCCAAACTTCAGGATTTTCCCACAGAAGAAGAGAAAACTTAGCTGACGGTGCCATAGCTAATTACAAATACATTCATTTAATCCTTTCTTGTATTGGTGAGATTAACAAAATCCTGCAAAACAACCCCTTTAACGAAACGATTGCTCAACAGCTGGTTTACCGCCTTGCTTACCTCTTCGATCAGGTTTTGCTTCACTTCCAAACCTTTCTTGGTGGTTTTGGTTAAGGAGACTGCAAGGAAGAAAGACTCGGGTTCAGTGTTACATTAGGGAACGTTCGGAAAACGCGATTGCGGTTTCATTTGGAAATTGGACTGGAGTGCAAGGACAATGGGACAGGCAGGGGAGAGAGGGAAGGAAGAAAGGAAAGGAAGGAAGGAAGGAGAGATGGGTTGGATGGATGGATAAGGAAGGAAGGAAAGATAGGAAGGAAGGAAGGAGAGATGGTTGGATGGAAAGGAAAGAAAGATAGGAAGGAAGGAAGGAGATGGGTTTGATAGAAAGGAAGGAAAGGAAGGAAGGAAGGAGAGATGGATGGATGGAAAGGAAGGAAAGATAGGAAGGAAGGAAGGAGAGATGGGTTGGATGGATGGATAGGAAGGAAGGAGAGATGGGTTGGATGGAAAGGAAAGATAGGAAGGAAGGAAGGAGAGATGGGTTGGATGGATGGATGGGAAAGGAGGAAGGAAAGATGGGATGGATGGGAGCGAGGGAAGGAGAGATGGATGGAAAGGAAGGAAAGATAGGAATGAAGGAGAGATGGGTTGGATGAATGGATGGATGAGAAGGAAGGAAGGAAGGAGAGATGGGTTGGATGGATGGATGGGAAAGAAGGAAGGAAAGATGGGATGGATGGGAGCAAGGGAAGGAGATGGATGGAAAGGAAGGAAAGATAGGAAGGAAGGAGAGAGGGTTGGATGGATGGATGGATAGGAAAGAAGGAAAGAGAGATGGATGGATGGAAAGATAGGAAGGAAGGAGAGATGGGTTGGTTGGTTGGATGGATGGATGGATAGGAAAGAAAAGAAAGGAGAGATGGTTGGATGGAAAGAAAGGAAAGATAGGAAGGAAGGAGAGATGGGTTGGATGGATGGATGGATAGGAAAGGAAGGAGAGATGGTTGGATAGAAAGGAAGGAAAGATAGGAAGGAAGGAGAGATGGGTTGGATGGATGGATGGATGGATGGGAGCGAGGAAGGAGAGATGGATGGATAGGAAAGAAAGAAGAAAGGAGAGATGGTTGGATAGAAAGGAAGGAAAGATAGGAAGAAAGGAGAGATGGGTTGGATGGATGGATGAATGGATGGATGGATGGGAGCGAGGGAAGGAGAGATGGATGGATGGATAGGAAAGAAAGAAGGAAGGAGAGATGGATGGATTGAAAGGAAGGAAAGATAGAAGGAAGGAAAGAGACATAGGTTGGATGGATGGGAAAGAAGGAAGGAAAGATGGGATGGGGGGGTTAGAAAGACCCCTGACCCCTGGGGGGTTGGTCCCCTGTCCCCACTCACCCCTTTCTTGGCGCAGTTAGTTGTTTTGTGCAGCCTAGCCTACCTGGCAGGGTTGTGGGGCAAATACATAGGGTTGTGCAAAAGCAAAAGGGATCCCCCTGATCTTTAGGGGGGGAGGGGAGAAAGAGCCTGGGAAGGGGAGGGGGAAGGGAGACCCTGACCCCTAGGGGGAGGGTCCCCCACTCACCTCCTTTCTTTTGCAGCCTAGCCTACCTGGCAGGGTTGTTGTGCAAATAAACAGGATTGTGCAAAAGCAAAGGGGATTCCCCCTGCACCCCCCCTCTTTATGGGGGGGGGGAGAGTGAGAGAGAGACCCCCTCACCCAGATGGGAAACCCCCCCCCCCATTATTCCTCCTCCCTCCCCCACTCACCCCTCTTGTCCCGCTTGGACTTCGGCATCGCGGCCAACCACGTGCAGCTTCCTTGGGCAGCGGCGGTGGGCGGAGCCTCGCGTGGCCAACGGGGAGGATGAAGGTGTCCACGGCAGCGCCTAATTTCCCGAGGGTGGAAAAATAAAAGTAAAATGAGCCTCACGGGAAAACAGGGCTGCCTTGTTAGCCTCTTTATAAGATATTTTTTTTAAAAAAAAATCGGTCCGTTTTAATTTTATTAATTTTCCGTTTTTTTCCCTCCCCAATCGGGCAATAGTTGCCGCTGCCTCTCAGGTCCTTCGCCGCTAAGGTGGCGGGGGCCTTTCTCGCGCGGTGCCTGATGGGAGGGCCAGTTTAAGACTTGTGGACTTCAACTCCCAGAATTCCTGAGCTAACATGACTGGAGGAGGAATTCTGGGAGTGGAAGTCCATAAGTCTTAAAGCGGTCAAGTTTGAAGACACCTGGTCTATAGTTTTTTTTTCCTAATTTGATTTTCTCCCTTTGTTTTTTTTTATTTTTCGTCTTTTTAAAAAAATTATTCCCGTTCTAGAGCGAGATTTGCCCTGTAACTCTTTTTAACCCCATTTCCCCCCCCATTAAGGTCACTTCTACAACATTCGTAGCTCTACAGACCGGAAGCCGGAGCAGAAAAGTCTTCTGTCTCGTCTCTATGGTCGCGCGCAGAGCCTGACGGGATACCGGAGGCTTTCTTTCCCCCACTCCTCTTCTTCCGGCTCCCTGTCTCCTTTTGGGTCGTCATGGCGGCGCCCGTCCATCCGCCGCTGCTCGTTTTGTCGCTCCTGCTGCACCTCCTTTCCTGGCTTCCCCCGCCGGCGGGCGCCGTCTACGAGGACCAAGTGGGCAAGTTCGACTGGTGGGTGAACCTCAACTCAGTAACGAGAGTGGGGAAAGGGACCCCTGGAGGTCATCTAGCCCAACCCCCTTTTGCTCACACGCAGGAGGACCTGTACTTGGGATTCGAACCGCCGGAACTGCCGACCTGATCGACAAAAAAAAAAAGAAAAAGAAAAGCTCAGCGTCTTAGCCACTTGAGCCACCTAAGAAAGGGCAGCGCCGTCGGGGTTGGCCTGCGGAACTCCCCGCCACTTTTAGAAAGGGATGCAGGCGCTGCTGCTTGCTTTATTGGGGTGGTGGGGGTGGTGGGAGGGTGAGAAGGAGGGCGATTATTGGCGTTGATAAAAAAAACAAAAAACAAGCCAGACGTGGCCCAAATCGGGCTTTCAATGAGGGGGCTTCTAGATAGATGGATAGCGGATAGATAGATAGATAGATAGATAGATAGATGATAGATAGATAGATAGATAGATAGATAGATAGATAGATAGATAGGATAGATAATTTTATTTCTATACCGTCCCTCTCCGGAAGAACTCGGGGCGGTGCACAGCCAAGTAAAAAGGTTGGAAGGCAGCTGGCTTTCTCTGAGCTTATTTGCCAGGGCTGATCATAAAAGGAGAATTATTTGCAGCTCAGGGTTGACATGATGAGGGGTTGGGGCGGGTGGGGTCCTCGGTGCTCTCTTGAGCAGGGTTTTTCTTGTAGACGTTTCGTGACCCAACTAGGTAACATCATCAGTGCTTAGTACCAAAAAGGAAGGGAGGGAGGGAGGAAAAGAAAGAGGAGGAGGGAGACAGGAAGGAAGGAAGGAAGGAAGGAAATGAATTGGAAATACAAAAGGAAGGAAGGAAGGGAAGGAAGGAAGGAAGGAAGGAAGGAAGCTCAGGATTGACATGAGGGATCTTTGGTGCTCTCTTGAGCGGGTGGTTTTCTTGTAGACATTTCGTGACCCAACTAGGTAACATCATCAGTGCTAATACCAAAAAGGAAGCGAGGGAGGAGGAAAAGAAAGAGAAAGAGGGAGACAGGAAGGAAGGAAGGAAATGAATTGGAAATACAGAAGAAGGGAAGGGAAGGGAGAGGAGAAAGGAAGGAAGGAGGAAGGAAGGAAGGAAAAAGAAAGAAAGAAGAAAAAAGGAAAAAGGAAGAAAGAAGAAAGAAAGAAGAAAAAAAGATTTGCAGCTCAGGGTTGACATGAGGGATCTTTGGGGCTCTTTTGAGCTGGGTGGTTTTCTTGCAGGCGTTTCATGACCCAACTAAGTACAATAATATCATCAGTGCTAGGAGGGAGTGGGGGTGGAGGTGGAGGAGGAGGAGGAGGAGGAAGAGGAGGCTGTGAGATCCTAGGTGCTCTCTGTGCTTGGCAGTTTTCTTGCAGGTATTTCATGACCCAACTAGGTAACTTCATCAGTGCTACGAGGGAGGGATATTTGTAGAGTGGAGGAGGACTGTGGGGTCCTTGATGCTCTCCGAACATGGCTGTTTTCTTGCAGACGTTTCATGACCCAACTAGATAGTCTCATCAGTGCTAGTGTTATTTGCCGTATGCTAAATAAATCACTGAACTAATGTAATTTGCCTTGGGGAGGGGGGGGCTTGTGCTTTGTGGAGTGAGACGGGTGTATAATCTTACAGGTATTTAAGATTTTCGGGTTGTAAGCCTTTCACTGTCGTTCTGTAGTAAGATGGGCAGGCCAATAAATTTTACAAATAAATAGAAGTTGAGGAGGGGGTGGCAGGACTATCGTGGCCAATGGGGAACAAAGACGAGGGTTGCACCCCAGGACCCCATATTTTCCTTTCAATGAAAAGAATATCTCTAACATCCCCCTGTTTATTTCAATTTATGACTGCAGGAAGCGTGCGGAATTTCAATTTTTCTTTCCATGTATTGCAGGAGGCAGCAGTACGTCGGGAAGCTCAAATTCGCCTTTTTGGAAGCCTCCCCCGCCTCCAAGAAGCTGATTGTGGCTACGGAGGAGAACGTGGTGGCTGCCTTGAACTCCCGCAGTGGTGAAATCCGTGCGTGTCTTTTGGGTTCCCTGCCTAGAGTGTCTCCCCCCCCCAAATGAGGAAGAGCGCTGCCTCTGGCGTGGCTGCGAGGCCTTTTTTAAAGGTTGATCTGGGTTTTATTTTTCCCCTCCTCCAGTGTGGCGACATGTGGACAAAGGGACTCCTGAAGGGGCAGTGGATGCCATGCTGATCCATGGGCAAGGTGAGGAAGGGGGTGGTATCCTGGTAGTGTTGTGGCCCGTCAGCGGCCTGTGCAGCTAGTAGCTGATTCCGACAGCGAGGAGGCTGGTGTGGTGCTGTGCCAGCAGCCTGTGCAACTGGCACTCGAGTCAGACAATGAGGAGGCTGGAGAAGATGTGGTGCCAGAGGCGGGGATTCAGCCAGGGCCTTCAGAACCTCCAGAAGCTTCCATAAGTGAAGAGGAAGAAGAGGAGGAGCCTCTTCTCGATGCACGAGCACGCAGAGCTACCAAAAAGCAGGAGTGGCTCCTCAGGAGGAGGTCTCCTCGAGAGTAAGGCTTGGGGCTAATTGGCCACTCCCTTAGCCTATTTAAGGAAGAACGCCGACTGAAGCAATTTGCAGGGAACAACTTCGTTCACTCCTTCGCGTCTTGATCTTAGTGCTCTTTATCAGTTTCCTGCAAATTGCTTCCGGGCTTTCTGCCAACCCTAGTAAGATTACGATTATTTATTCTTGTAGGCTGTTAAGAAAGTTAATTAACAGCCTTCGTTTGAAAAAAAAAACTGATTTAATTTAGTAAACTAAGGTTTGTACAGACTTTGTGTGTGCTGCGTTCTTTGGGGTCCGTAGCTGGGGCTGAACAGGTAGTCGTTTCCCATTTGCTCTCACTCTTTCTCCGTGCGGGCGCTATAGGCAGTCCACAATTGAGCCAAAATTTTCTCTTGTGTCGAGACGGTGAAGTGAGTTTTTGCTCCATTTTACGACCTTTCTTGCCTCAGGTTTGTTTGAAGTGGTGTAAGGTTTCCTGCCTAAGCAGGTGGTTGGACTAGAAGGCCTCCAAGGTCCCTTCCAACTCTGTTATTCTATTCTATTCTAGTTATTGAATCACTACAGCTGTTAAGTTAGTAACAAGGTTGTCGTAAAGATGCTTTTTTTTTCCAAGAGGCAACCGGACTTTCTGGTTTTTTCTTTCTGAAGACGTTTCACTTCTCATCCAAGAAGCTTCTTCGGCTCTGACTGGATGGTGGGGAAGGGAAGGATTGATACTCCTTGCAGACAGCTGGGCATTTGCATCCTTTTTAGAGAGCCCTTGAAGCCACCTGGAGAACCTCAGAATCACCTGAGTGCAAATGGGTGTAGAGCCTCCTTGGAACTGCTGAAAGGACAAATTTATAGACTGGAGATAGGTGGTGTCGTATCCCACCCCCTCTATTGAGAGAGGGCTGTTCAATTTTGACATAAATGCCCTCTCTGACCCGTCTTTCAAACCAGCCGTCCTCTTTGTCCAAAATGAGGATTTTGCTGTCTTCAAAAGAGCAGCTTTTGTCTTTCAAACGCGGATGGACTGCTGAATCTTGTCCTGATGGGTTTGTTCTGCTATGCTGAGCCATGCGTTTGTGAAGTGGCTGTTTTGTTTCCCCAAATGACCAGCTTGTCTGCAAAGAGTAAGAATAAGAATAAGAATAATTTTATTTCTATACCGCCCTTCTCCCGAAGGACTCAGGGCGGTGTACAGCCTATTAAAAACACGAGACAACATCAGTTAAAATAGTTTAAAATTATTAAATAAATTCGGCTCGATTTAAAACCCCAGAAATTTAAAACCCAATTTAAAATTGTTATGTTGATAGACTGGCCTGGCAGAGTAGAACTCCTTCCCTTCCCCACCATCCAAGACAGCGCTGAAGAAAGCTTCTTGGATAAGAAGCGAAACGTCTTCAAAGAAAAACCAAGTTGCCACTTGGAAAAAAAGCACATTTGGGACAACCGATGACCTGGATGACTGAGAATCTCCCATAGCCATTTAGCAACAAGGTTGTTAAGTGAATCTGGCTTCCCCACTGACTAAGCCAGTAGTAGGTTGTTAAAAGGTGATCCCATGACCCCAGGAACATTGCAACCATCAAAAATACGAGTCAGCTGCCAAGCATCTGAATTTTAGTCACATGACCATGGTCATAAGTGGAAAAATCATCGCAAGTGCCATTGTCACTTCGAGCGGTCGCTAAATGAATGGTTGTAATTCGAGGACTATCGTAACGTCGTTTCTTGATTTTTGGTTTTCGTTCGCAAGTTGAAAAATGTCTCCGAAAGACCCGCATTTTCAGCATTTGAGAAAAAAATCTGGAGAGGGACGGTTTAACCTGGCCAATCCCACAGAGGATGAAGCACGCTGAACTGTATTTTCCGTGCCTGTTTTCTGCAGATGCCATCACGGTTTCCAACGGGGGTCGTCTCCTGCGCTCTTGGGAAACCAACATTGGTGGCCTGAACTGGGAGGTTTTGATGGACGCCGGCAGGTGAGTCTTTTAGAATACCGGAATACTTAGAATCATTTGGAATCCTGCATCCGGTTTTGGTCTCCACGATGTAAAAAAAAGATTTGGAGACTCTAGAAAGAGTGCAGAGAAGAGCAAGAAAGAGGATTAGGGGACTGGAGGCTAAAACATATAAAGGAACCAGGTATGTCCAGTTTAATGAAAAGAAGGATAGAGGTGACATGATAACAGTCTTCCAATATCTCAGGGGCTGCCCCAAAGAAGAGGGAGTCAAGCTATTCTCCAAAGCACCTAGAAGGCAGGACAAGAAGCAATGGGTGGAAACTCATCAAGGAGAGAAGCAACTAAGGAGAAATTTCCTGACAGTGAGAACAATTAACCAGTGAAACAACTTGCCACCAGAAGTTGTGAATGCTCCAACACTGGAGGTTTTTAAGATGTTGGATAACCATTTTGTCTGAAGTGGTGTAGGGTTTCCTGCCTAAGCAGAGGGTTGGACTAGAAGACCTCCAAGGTCCCTTCCAACTCTGTTATTCTATTCTGTTCTGTTCTGTTCTATTCTATTCTATTCTATTCTATTCTATTCTATTCTATTCTATTCTATTCTATTCTATTCTATTCTATTTTCATTCCATTCCATTCCATTCTTTCCATTCCGTATATTCTATTCTATTCTATTCCATTCCATTCCATTCCTATTCCTATTCCTATTCCTATATTCTATCCTATTCTTTCCATTCCATTCCATTCCATTCCGTATTTTCTATTCTATTCTATTCTATTCTATTCTATTCTATTCTATTCTATTCTATTCCATTCCATTCCATTCCATTCCATTCCATTCCATTCCCATTCCATTCCATTCCGTATTTTCTTTCTATTCCATTCCATTCTATTCTATATTAGGATTAGTTTCAATAATGAGTAAAGAAATCCATTTTTTTAAAAAAAATAAATTCTTAAATTAAGCTTTCAGGTGGCTAGTTTGGTGGGAGTCCAAGACGCTGTGAAGTATGTGGCCGTTTTGAAGAAAAGCTCCCTCCTTCTACATTATCTCTCCAACGGTTACCAAAAATGGATAGAACATTTGCCAGAAAGGTGAGTTGATTTGGTGACTAAAAACAACAACAACAGCCGCCTTTAATCCTAACCGTAACCCTACTCATTTTTATAAAGCAGAAATATTCTGTTGTGTTAGCACATTCTTTGCACTTCGGTTAAGTTTTTCTCCGCGACAGGCAATAGATTGCAGATTGTCCTTGTTTAGCGACCGCCTCATTTAGCGACCGTTCACAGTCACAGCGGTGATGGACAAGCAACTTGGAACTTTGCAAACATAACTTGGGCAGGACAAAGAGAGCCGAGTTAAGATCGTAAGCACCGTTCCAGTTTCAGTTTAGTGACTGCTTCACTTGACAGCTGAATGACCAGTTCCAATTGTGGTCACTAAACAAGGACTGTTTACGGATTGTAAACAAGCAACCTTAAGTGTCTTCAGTGTCAGGGTTCCAAGGAACACCCCCAAAGAAAAGGAGACTCCGAGGCTTGAAGTTCCTCAAAGTTCCATGTTATTAGAGATGTCATATTGGCACACCTGGGAAAACCCGAATCTGAAAGGTTCCAGGTTTTCCCCACCCAAAAGAAAGTCCAAGTCCCTTCCCCTACACCCACATGTCCATCATGTCCAATCAATGCACCGTCCCAACTGGAGATGCTTCCCAGTCACACCCCTCCAGGTGCAGGGCAGAGTGACCTTGACTCTCTGAGAAAGGAATGTTATTTTGACTACATATCTCCCCAGCTCCATACAATCCCCCCTCCCAGTTTCCCACAGCACTAAATGTGGCAGGCCTGAAGGCCCAAGGCAAAAAATGGCTTCTGGGCCTGACATTCAGAGCTGTCTCTCTCTCGTTCTGCGTATTTTATATCAATTCTTAAGAATGATTTCATTTTGGCCCGGAAATTTGAGGAGTTTAGCACCTCGTGAGAAAGACGGCAAGACGGCTTAAAACAAGACAACACGATTATACTAATTCGCACCTCTGCTTTTCCTTATCAGCGAGATTGTCCAGTATCAGCTGGTCTATTCCCATGGAACAGGCGTGGTACACGTGGTCGGAATTTCTCCGCAGAGCCACCTCAGCATCCTGACTTTCAGCGTTGAGGATGGTGAAATGACGAGACAGGTGAAGCAAAAATTTGGCTTTCAGCGGGATTTCCTTCGCCAGGTTGGCTGGGGGGAAAGAGAGGGAAGGGAAGACCGTAATTTTGCAAAAAAAATGTTTCTCTTACGGTAACATTACGACGACGGCAGTATTTGGGGTGCACCCGTGCCTTTAAGCAGGCCGTTAAATTTTCTGCCATGTGGATTTGCCTTTGCTGGCCTGAGATTCATCTCTTTGCTTTCCGTAGATCAGGGTGGCAGCTCCCTGGTTGAGGAATCTAGCTGGGACTTGCAACATCGTAGAAGAAGCCACGCTGGTGTGTGTGAACCCATCCACTCAGTCCCTTTACACCTTGTCTCTGGAGGCCGAGGAGGAGATGAAGGAGGTTCCACTGCAGGTGAGAGGGGTCCAGAAACGAGCTGGCCTGTCCATTTTGGCAAAGCTGAGAGGTTCTTCTGACTTTGTCGTTCAATGACCTCATAATCCCTTGTGGGGTGGAGTCTGGGCAACTGAATGGAGCAGAGTGATTTACTGGCCGGATGCCCTTCTTGTTGCCAGTACGGAGTTTTAGTCAGCAGATATATATATGCTAATTTTTCCCAGAGAGAGAAATATCAGCCTCTCTACTTAGGATCGAATTCACAGCCTCCTGATTGTGAGGCGAGAGCTCCATGTCAGGGTTCCAAGGAACACCCCCAACAAAAGAAGACTCTGAAATTCTTTGAAGTTCCATTTTATTAGAGATGTCACGTTGGCACATCTGGGGAAACCTGAATCTGAAAGCTTCCAGGTTTTCCCCACCCATAGAAAAGTCCCAAGTCCCTGCCCAGTACCCACATGTCCGTCACATGGTCCAATCAAAGCACCGTCCCAACTGGAGATGCTTCCCAGTCACACCCCTCCAGGTGCAGGGCAAGATGTCCTTGACTCTCTGAGAAAGGAATGTTATTTTGACTACATATCTCCTCAGCTCCATACAATCCTCCCTTCCCAGTTTCCCACAGCACTAAATGTGGCGGGCCTGAAGATCCAATGCCCAAGATGGCTTCCAGACCTGACACTCCATCTCTAGACCACCGCATCACTCTGAGAGGTTCTTCTTGAGTCCCTTTCCCAAAATCTCTCCTTGATTTTTTTATCTGCCATGGAGCAACAAGCTGGAACTCGATCCTGGAACAGGGAAGTGCCTGTTCCTTTCAACTGTGGCCAGCACAATTATAATGCCCCAAAATGTCCTGATTGTTCTGAGTTAGGCTTCCCAAAACCACGAAGCAGACTCCTTATCCCGACAAAAAAACCCTTTTTATTAAGTGACTGTGAATTCCTCTCATTCACATCCAGCAAAGTCTTTCAAGGGAGAATTTCCAGTCACTGACCTTACCTGGCTTGGAGAGCTGCCAGGCCGATATCTTCAAAACTTGGCAAGGAGTTTCAGAGAGTCAAGAACCAATTAAGCGAACTAATTGTCTCCTGCAAACTCCCCTCCCCTTTCGCTCCTCTTTTATTCCCTCTGGGAGGGGCCATTCATCATCCACTTGTGGCTTTACTCCTGAGTCGCCCCTTGTTCCTTAGCTGTTCCCTTCGTCTGGCAACTCTGTGCATGCGCACCCTGGGAACAGGCTCCAGCTGTTCCTCTGCCTCACTGATGTCTGACTCCAAAGGCAGCTGATAATTGTCAGACGGCCGTGGCCTCCTCTATGCCTCCGACGCAGAGCCCTCATCAGAGCCTTCTCCAGACTCCAGGACTGGCCCAGGTTCCTCCCCAAAACCTCCTCACTGTCCAAATCTGCTGCCAGCTCTGCTGGCTGCTGGAGGGCCACAATACAGGTGTTGACTTCCTCTCTTCCTCTATCTTGACTGATCTGCCTGGTCTTTTTTTCCCCCCTTCCTGCAGTCTCTCGGCCTGGAATTTGCGGACATTTCCGAGGCTCGTATCCTGTCCTCCCAGCCGAACCCAGCCAGAGCTCCCCGGCCTCAGTTCTTCCTGCGTCTGTCGCCAACCCACTTCGCTCTCTTGCAATATCGGCACGGCGTCCTGAGCCTCCTTCGGAATTTCCCGCAGGTGAGGACCAAAAAGGGAAGTTTCCGATCACCTGAGTTTTGACCTTCCTCCACCCTTCCCCTTCAAGGCAGGTTGGGTGGAAATAAATACCCAGCGAGTGAAAGTTTGACAATCTCAGTGCTTTTATACCAATGCAGTGGTGGGTTGTTCCCGGTTCGCAAGAACCGGTAGTAAAAATTTGTAGTAGTTCCGAGAACCGGTAATAACATTGGCTGGCCACGCCTCCGGTCCTCGGCCCGGTCGCTGCTCGCTTACCCTGCCTTTTTTAAAAAAAAAAACTTTTAAAAGCATTTTTTCTACAACCTCTTCGGCCGAAAAAATGCTTTTAAAAGTAAAAAAAAAAAAGCCTCTGATGATCCCGTGGCTCAGCTGGGATCGTCAGAGGCTTTTCAAAGGATTTTTTCTACAACCTCTTCGGCTGAAGGGGTGGTAAAAAAAATGCTTTGAAAAATCTCTGACAATCCCAGCTGAGTTGCCTGATCGGCAGAGGCTTTTCAAAGCATTTTTTTCTGCAACCTCTTAAGGTTGTAGAAAAATGCTTTTAAAAGTTAAAAAAAAGAGTTGGCCACACCCACCCAGTCACATTACCCCCCAAGCCACACCCACAAAATAAGCCACACCCACAGAACCGGTAGTAAAAAAAATTTGGAACCCACCCCTGTATCAGAATCTCAATGCGGAAATATCCAGAATTCTGGATATTGTGAGTGTTGTGTGAAGTGATCCATGCGCTATTTTTTTTTTTAAATTACTATTTATTTAGTGCTTAATAAACATCGTGTTACCTGGGTTATTTTGTTTGCTTAACAATAACAATACAAATTATATTCCTAATCTTAACCCCCTTTTTCCCCCCAGCCATTGATAAAATAAATTCCATGTTTGATAGCATTCTGTATCTCCTTTCTGTTTAATCTTCAGTGTAAGTCTGTCCATTTCTGCACAGTCCAATATCTTCTTAATTATCTCATCATCTAGTAATATTTCTACTTTTTTTTTTTTTTGGCAATGCTGAGCAAATACAATCCTCGTTAATACATGCAAATATGAAATATACGGTTTGTTTTATTGAATTTTTCTGATACTATATCAGTGGTGGGTTCCTCCCGGTTCGGTCCAGTTCGGCCGAGCCGGTAGCGGTGACGATATGACGTCACCGAACCGGTTCTCCCCCCCCGCCCCCCACCCCGCCACGTTATTCTTACCTTTTATTTGGTCCCACCCCCAATCTATTGCTGCCTCCTGAGTCCCAGCTGATGACTAGAGGGAAAAAAACTGTTTAAACTCTTGCCGGGGGGCTTCAAAGGGCCGCCCTACAGCTGATCAGTGTTAAAAGCAAACAGATGAGTCGGGTCGTAAGTGCGAGGACTGGTCGTAAGTGCGAGGACCTTCCAGAAATGACTGACCAGCTAGCCATGCCCACCTAGTCACATGACCTCCAAGCCACACCCACAAAATAAGCCATGCCCACAGAACCGGTAGTAAAAAAATTTAGAACCCATCCCTGTACTATACCTGATTAAAAAAAAGTTCAGGTTTCAGATCTACAGTAGTGGCCAAAATTGTGGAAATCTTTTGGGGAAAAGTGTATTTTTAAGGTTTGATGGATAATAACACCACTTTTTGGGGGTGAGTTTCAAGGTAATCCTATTCCACTGCTGGAATGGCCTGGGAATAACCCAGACCTTCACCCCATTGAAAATCTACGGAGCTGACTCAAGAAACTGGTTAGTCAGAAGCGACCCAGCAATAAAACCCAGTTAAAGAAGCCATCATTCCATCTTGGTTTCACATTAGAACAGCTGCAGAACTCAAAGACTTGGTTTGCTCCATGGGAAGACGTTGTAAGGCCATCATTCATGCTAAAGGTTACCCAACTAAGGATTAACTGACATGGGGGTCATTTCGGTATATCTCGTTTTTTTCTTTGGTGATCATTTTTGTAGGTAGGTAGGTAGGTAGGTAGGTAGGGAGAGAGAGAGAGAGAAAGAAAGAAAGAAAGAAAGAAAAAGAAAGAAAGAAGAAAGAGAAAGAAAGAAAGAAAGAAAGAAAGAGAAAGAAAGAGAAAGAAAGAAGAAAGAATTAATTCTATATTGGCCAAGTGTGATTGGACACACAAGGAATTTGTCTTTGGTGCATACGCTCTCAGTGTACATAAAAAGAAAAGATGCATTCGTTAAGAACCATAAAGATATATCTCGTTTTTTCTATGGTGATCATTTTGTAGGTAGGTAGGTAGGTAGAGAGAAAAAGAAAGAAAAAGAAAGAAAGAAGAAAGAAAGAAAGAAAGAAAGAAAGATAGATAGATGATAGATAGATAGATAGATGGATGGATGGATGGATGGATGCTGGATGGATGGATGGATGGATGGATGATAGAATTCTATATTGGCCAAGTGTGATTGGACACACAAGGAATTTGTCTTTGGTGCATGCTCTCAGTGTACATAAAAAGAAAAGATGCATTCGTTAAGAACCATAAGATATATCTCGTTTTTTCTATGGTGATCATTTTTGTAGGTAGGTAGGTAGCGAGAGAGAGAGAAAGAAAGAGAAAGAAAGAAAGAGAAAGAAAGAAAGATAGAAAGATAGAATTCTTTATTGTTCAAGTGTGATTGGACACACAAGGAATTTGTCTTTGGTGCATAGGCTCTCAGTGTACATAAAAAGAGAAGATACATTCGCTAAGTTTTTATTTTTATTTTTATTTTTTATTTCTAATCTAAAATAAAACTTTTTTTCAAAAAAAAACAAAAAAACATAAAACATACATCTCATTTTTTCTACATGTTTCACTTTTCTTCTTTATCCTTCTTTATCCTGTCACTGCTATTCTAATAGCAAATCCTTCATAAACGTTATTGCATTACATTCCTGATTAAATTATCTTTCCATCGATATATAATTTTATGGTACTACAAAAAAAAATAAAATGATATTATTAGCTAGTTTTAGAAAATAACATTTTTCCCAAACGGTTTCCACAATTATGGCCACAACTGTAGATGTTTTCCTAACATCTTTTCTAACCACATGTGTATTTTGGCCCAATTTCTTTTTTTGGTGATCCATTCACTATTGATCTCTCACCGTCTTTTTCCAGGCCAGCCTTGTGACTTTTGCAACTACCGGTGAGAAGACAGTGACGGCTGTCCTTGCATGCAAGGGCGAAGGGGTAAATATATATCAGTGCATGAAATGGGTGTGGTTTTTTGTTTTTTTTACAACGACCCTGTAAGGGAGGCCTCTATCATCCCTATGTTGCAGCAGCAGGAATGCTAAGAATTGAGGCTCTTGGCGAATTTGGGAAGCAAATAATAATCTAATAAATAATTCCTGTCTGTTCACAGTTCTTGGATGTGCTGGAAGATTCTGTGTTAAAAAGGGAGAATTGATAAGGCCACCAAAACAGGGTCTCAAGCAGCCATTTGGAAAGGACATTGTTCTGTCCCCCTTCCCCACACAGGCAAACGTAATACCAAGCACGCCTGCCAATATTTTATTAGGTAAACAGATTAGAATTCTTGGCAGACCAAGGTTTTGGCAGCAAACTGCCGAATGCCTGCCAAGACCGTTTTCACTCCCATAAAGCAGAAGAGGACTTATCTTCAGTCTGTTCCAGGAGCAACAAATTATCCACAAGACAAGAGTTTAGTCAGTGTTCAGTCCAAAATATATCCAAGCCGAATTTCAGAGATCACGATGTGACTTTCAGGGTTTAACTTTGTCAGTCACAAAGGCTGAAGAGCAATCCCACCCACTTTTATTCCTGGTGGGGCGTGGCTCCGTGACTCAGCTCAATCTCTGGCCCTCCCACGCCTCTTCCGTTGCTGCGCACGCTTCTCCCTCCGACGCTGCCTGGGATCAAGCCAGGATTCATCATCCTCGCTCCCTATCAATTGGGTGCTCCGATACGTCTTCCTCCTGGCCCATCCCAGGCTGTTCCTCCTGGCCTTTGGATGGAACCTGAGGCATTGCCAGAGAGGAGGGTCCTGGAGAGGGAGGCCTTGGCAGTTCCTCCCCATCACCTTCTGAGTCCTCTTCCTCTGTCAGGACAGGCTCGGGAGTCGGGGTCACAACAGACATGCTGGACGACGGAAAAAACTTGTTGCCTCTGATTTTTAAATGGTTCTGAATCTCACTTGGTCTGGATAGCAAAGGAAGCCTGAAGCCTTTTTAAATCTTTGTTATAATAGAGTAACAGGAGGGACCTGGGAGGACGTCTACTCCAATTTGCTACTCAAGCAGGAAATCCTATACAATTTCAGACAAATGGTTGTTCCCAGCCTCTTCTTAAAAAGAGATTTTAAGAGGCTGCTTGAAATGGCGGGTGCTTGTTTGAATCCAAAATGCCTTGTTAAATTTTTCGCTTCCCTGCAGTGACCGTATTTTTCGGAGTATAAGACGCTCCGGAGTATAAGTCACACATCAGTTTTTGGGGAGGAAAACAAGAAATAAAACAAATTCTGCCTCTGCCTACCAGCATCCATTGGTATTCATCTGGCTGGCGTCCTTGCAGCAAACAGCCTGGTCAGCTTCAGCACCTTATTGCAGCCTGATTTAGCATGAACAGCTGATTGGCGGTTGGATCGGCCTCTCGAAATACCGCCAATCAGCTGTTCCAAGCTGCGGGGATAGCCAGAGCTCATCGCTGCCTCTGCGTGTCATGTTTTCAGCCTCTGCACGCTCCGTTTTAGACCCGTTCCACGCTGTGGGGATCGCCAAAGCACATCTCCGCCGATCGCCGCATTTTCGGCCTCTGCGCGATGCGTTTTTGGCCTCCATATGTCCCATTTTTGGCCACTGCACATCACATTTTCAGCTGCTTCCGTCGCCGCCAGTCCCCGCCACCTAAAACCGGCTGAAAATGCGGCGCACGGAGGCCAAAAACGAGGTGTTTGGAGGCCGAAAACGCGATACGCGGAGGACAAAAATGGCCGAAGGGGGGGGGGCCGACGGGTGGGCAGGGCTTCGGCAACATTCGGTGTATAAGACGCGCCACAATTTTCACCCACTTTTAGGGTGGGGGGAAAAGTGCGTCTTATACTCGGAAAAGTACGGTAACTTCCATTCTCGTAAGAAGTGAAAGGCTGTTTTGCTCTGTTCATTCTCTCCCTCCAGGAAGGCCTCTCTTGCCCCGCCCAGTCCTACACCGTCAACTTGTACCTGGCTGAAACCGGGCAGAGACTTCTGGACACCCTCATCACCTTCACTCTGGAGAAAAGCAGCATCAGGCCTGAGCAGGTAAACGGTTCTTCCGATGAGCGAGGTTTTGTTCTCAACCTGCGGCCATTGCTCGACACGGGTATTTCTCACATGCTTTGGGGATCCCAAGCCTCCCCCCCCCCGCTGCATTCTTTTAAAATCAAACATCCCTGGCTTTGAGAATGCCCTTGGTCTTGGAGTCCTAGTGGACAGCCATTTAAATAGGAGCCAGGCGTGTGCAGCAGCTGCCAAAAAAGCCAACACAGTTCTAGGCTGCATCAACAGAGGGATAGAATCAAGACCACATGAAAGTGTTAATACCACTTTATAAGGCCTTGGTAAGGCCACACTTGGAATCCTGCATCCAGTTTTGGTCACCACGATGTAAAAAAGATTCTATTCTATTCTATTCTATTCTATTCTATTCTATTCTATTCTATTCTATTCTATTCTATCCTATCCTATCCTATCCTATCCTATCCTATCCCCTCTTCTCTTCTCTCTTCTCTTCTCTCTCCTCTTCTCTTCCCTCTTCTTTTCCCTATTCTCTTCTCTCTTCCCTTCCCTTCCCTTCCCTTCCCTTCTCTTCTCTTCTCTTTGCTATGCTATTCCACTCCATTCCATTCCATTCCATTCCATTCCATTCCATTCCATCCTATTCCCTCTTCTCTTCCCTCTTCTCTTCTCTTCCCTCTTCTCTTCTCTTCTCTCTTCTCTTCCCTCTTCTCTTCTCTATGCTATGCTATTCCACTCCATTCCATTCTATCCTATTCCCTCTTCTCTTCCCTCTTCTCTTCTCTTCTCTTCTCTTCTCTTCCCTTCCCTTCCCTTCCCTTCCCTTCCCTTCCCTTCCCTTCCCTTCTCTTCTCTTCTCTTCTCTTCTCTTCCCTTCCCTTCCCTTCCCTTCCCTTCCCTTCCCTTCCCTTCCCTTCCCTTCCCTTCCCTTCCCTTCCCTTCCCTTCCCTTCGCTATGCTATGCTATACTATGCTATTCCACTCCAATCCACTCCACTCCACTTCACTCCACTCCATTCTATCCTATTCCCTCTTCTCTTCCCTCTTCTCTTCTCTTCCCTTCGCTATGCTATGCTATACTATGCTATTCCACTCCACTCCATTCCATTCCACTCCATTCCATTCCATTCTATCGCTCATCCATTCCTTCCCTTTGTTTGCAGCTCTTCATTCAGGTCTTTTTAAAGAAGGACGACTCCGTTGGGTACCGCGCCTTGGTGCAAACGAAAGATCACCTCCTCCTGTTCCTGCAACAGCCAGGTACCCCTCCGAGTGCAGAGTGGGTGCGCCTCCCTTCGTGGTTCCCTCTGCTTGGGCCCGACGTGGGCCAGAACTTTGTTAGGCCTTCCTCCTCCTCCTCCTCCTCTGTTGCTCTGCCCTCTGGGAGATTCCATCAACAGCTAAAAAGAAAAAAAACCACTTTTTTTTTTCTCACTTAATCTCACTCTTGGCAGGAAAAATTTGGTGGACCCGGGAGGAGTCTCTGGCCGAGGTGGTTAGCCTGGAGATGGTTGACCTGCCCTTGACAGGGGCCCAGGCTGAACTGGAGGGCGAATTTGGGAAGAAAGCCGGTAAGGAGAGATTGGGATGGGGGGGGGACGGGGACGGAGGGGAGAGAATTATTTTGCCAAGATGGCTGAGGCGAACACTTGAAAAATAAGCCTGGTGTTCATCGCTGGGTGGAGCATTTTCCTAAAGGTCTATTCTGCCCACTGCAATCGGACTTGGATTGTTGGAGAGGTGAAATCCAGCAGGTTCTGACGAACCGGTAGCGGAAATTTTGAGCAGTTCGGAGAACCAGCAAATATCACCTCTGGCTGGCCCCAGAGTTGGGTGGGAATGGAGATTTTGCAATATTCTTCTCCCAGGAGTGGGGAGGGAATAGGGATTTTGCAGTATCCTTCCCCTGGAGTGTGGTGGGAATGGGGATTTTGCAGTATCCTTTGGGGAGGGATTGGGGAGGGAATGGGGATTTTGCAGTATCCTTCCCCTGGAGTGGGGAAGGAATGGGGAATTTGTAGTATCCTTCCCCTGGAGTGGGGAGGGAATGGGGATTTTGCAGTATCCTTCCCCTGGAGTGGGGAAGAATGGGGAATTTGTAGTATCCTTCCCCTGGAGTGGGGAGGAATGGGGATTTTGAATATCCTTCCCCTGGAGTGGGGAGGGAATGGGGAATTTTGTAGTATCCTTCCTTCCCCTGGAGTGGGGAGGGAATGGGGATTTTGCAGTATCCTTCCCCTGGAGTGGGAGGGAATGGGGATTTTGCAGTATCCTTCCCCTGGAGTGGGGAAGGAATGGGGATTTTGCGGTAATCCTTCCCCATAGAACCAGTAGTAAAAAAATTTGGATTTCACCACTGGATTTTTGCCCTCGTTTGATCAGGAGACACAAGGACATCTCGGAAGGAAGAAAAAAAATATATCCACAAATACGTTTTGGCCTTGTGTGTGATTTGTGCTGCTGTGTTCAGGTTTTTGTTGTGTTTCGTGTGTTTGTTTGCTTTTTCCACTCCTCCAAAGACTAAAATGTTGAATTGTTTCCTGGTTTGTGTTTCCTTTTTTTGCTGCCTGGAAATCAGCCATTCAAGGTAACCCGCATGTGCCAGTCTCCTGTTTTGCTCGGGTGTGTACTGTGAGTGTGTGAGAGGGGGAGGCACACTGATCTCCGGGGCTGTTTTCGGATTTTGGAACGATGCCCCACGTGGTTTGGCCTGATATCTGGGCTCAGAAACCTGGAAATAAACTTTCCATTTATTATTAGAGATTATTGTTTTTCTTTCTTCTCCTTCTCTTTCTCCCCTTCCTCCTTCTCTCTCCCCTCTCTCCTTCCTCTTCCTTCCTTCTCTTTCTCCTTCCTTCTTCCTGTTCTTCCTCCTCTTCCTTCTTCTTCTCATTTTCTTCCTCCTCCTTCCTCTTCCTCTTCTTCCTCCTCTTCCTCATCCTTGTTCTTCTTCTCCTCGTCTTCCTTCCTTCTTCTCCTTCCTTCTTCCTCTTTCTCCTCCTCCTTCCTTCTCTTCTTCCTTTTCCTCCTCCTCTTCCGTCTTCCTTCCTTCTTCTTTCCTTCCTTCTTCCTTCGTCTTCCCTTCCTCCCTTCTTTCTCTTCCTGTTTCTTCCTCCTCCTCTTCCCCCTCCTTCTCCTCCTTTCGTCTTTCCTTCTTCTCCTCCTCCTCTTTTCCTCCTCCTCTTTCTTCTTCCTTCCTTCTTTCTCTCTTCCTTCTTCCTTCTTCCTCCTCCTCATTCTTCTTTCTCATTTTCCTCCTCCTCCGTCTTCCTTCCTCTTTCCTTTCCTTCCTCCTTCCTTCCTTTCTTCTTCCTCCTTCTTCTCCTCCTTTCCTTCTTCCTCCTCCTCATTCTTCTTCTCATTTTCCTTCTCCTCCTGTCTGCTTTCCTTCCTTCCTTCCTTCCTTCTTCCTCCTTCCTTCCTTCTTCCTTCTCCTCCTCCTTCCTCCTCATTCTTCTCATTTTCCTCCCCTCCTCCGTCCTTCTTCTTCCTTCCTTCCTTCCTTCTTCTCCTTTTCCTTCTTCTTCTCCTTCTCATTTTCCTCCCCTCCTCCTTCTCCTTCCTTCCTTCCTTCCTTCCTTCCTTCCTTCCTTCCTTCCTTCCTTCTTCTTTTTTCTTTTAATGAGTTTCCAGGCCTTTTCACAAAACAACTTTCAGGGATGAACTTAAAATTTTACAGGAAAGCTTTTTCCCCCCCACTGGGGACCATCAGGAAGAAGGAAGAATTTTGCTCGGGAGCCTTTCCTTAATCGTGGTTCTCGGTGGCGGCTGTTGTGGCTGCTGCTTGTTTTCCCAGATGGCCTCCTGGGCATGTTCTTCAAACGTCTGTCCTCTCAGCTCATCCTGCTCCAGGCCTGGACCGCTCATCTCTGGAAGATGTTCTAACGACGCCCGGAAACCCCGGAGCCAGACGAAGAACGAGTTCAACGTCGATAACTTAGCCCGGGATGAGTTCAACCTACAGAAGATGATTGTGATCGCCACAGCCTCTGGAAAGGTGAGCGGGAAGGGCTGTGGTCACTCGCTGCGCCGGATAGTTAGAGGTCGTGGAAGAACCCCACACCAGCAGGTCAGCAACCTTCCACTCGTCTTCAGAACCTGGTAGACTGCTCCTGCAGGTGGGAGGTGCTATTCCTCACGTCAATGGTGAGAGAGAACGTAAGGAGACTCCTGTTTATTGTCATCCTCTTTTTAAACCCCATAATCCCTTGCGGGGTGGAGTCTGGGCAATTGAATGGAGCCGAGTGTTTTACTGGCCGGATGCCCTTCTTATCGCCAGGGCGGAGTTTTCTTCAGCAGATATAATCTCAGTGTGCCCAGAGAGAGAGAGAGAGAGAAATATCTGCCTCTACCTAGGATCAAACTCACAACCTCCCGATTGTGAGGCGAGAGTGCCACCTCTAGGCCAACGCACCGCTCATAAAGGAGAGTCCTGTTATCTGAATTTAAAGTGATGGGAGTCTTTGCTTTGTATTGAAACGGCCTCAAACCCGGTTGTCAGGAGAGGAAACCTTCAGCCCATCAGGCAGAGTCCCAATGCCAGGGTGGCTTTGTGGTTCCTACTCTCCTCCTCCACCTCCTCCTCCTCTCCTCCTCCTCCTCCTCTCCTCCTCCTCCTCCTCCTCCACCTCCTCCCCCCTCCTCCTCCCCTCCTCCTCCTCCCCCCTCCTCCTCTCCTCCTCCTCCTCCTCCCCCCTCCTCCTCCTCCTCCTCTCCTCCTCCTCCTTTCCTCCTCCTCCTCCCCCTCCTCCTCCTCCTCCTCTCCTCCTCCTCTTTCTTCCCCTCTCCTTTCCAGCTTTTCGGAATAGAGAGCAGTTCGGGGACGATCCTATGGAAGCAGTTTCTGCAGGACGTGCGTCCCGGCTCTTCCTTTAAGCTGATGGTTCAGAGGACGACGGCGCATTTCCCCCACCCCCCACAATGCACCCTGTTGGTCAAGGACAAGGTGGGTGCTTCCGCTCCCGCCTTCTCTCCTGAGTAGAAGAGGAAACGAACCACGGTGGGGCAGTGGTTAAGAGTGCAGTACCGCAGGCTACTTCTGCTGACTGCAGTTTGGCAGATCGAATCTCACCAGGCTCAAGGTCGACTCGGCCTTCCGTCCTTCTGAGGTCGGTCAAATGAGGACCCAGTTTGTTGGGGGCAAGTGGTGTAGCCCGCCGGCGGCCAGCAGAGTTGGCAGTAGAGTCGGACAGATTGGGGAGGAATATGGGCCAATCCTGGGGGCTGGGGAAAGCTCGGACGAGGGCTCTGCGTCGGAGGCAGAGAGGGAGTTAGCAGTGAGGCAGAGGAACAGCTGGATCCTGTTCCCAATGTGCGCGTGCGCAGAGCTGCCAGAAGACAAGAACAACTCAGAAAGCAGGGTCGACTCGGGAGTAAGGCCACACCTTGGAGGTGATTGGCCCCTCCCATAGGAAAAACAAAAGAGGAGTGAACGGGGAGGCAGCTTTTGCAGGAAACAATTCATTTGTTCCGTGACTCTGTGCCAAGTTTTGCCTTGTACTGCGCTTGGAAACTTAGTTACCTGGCAGCTTTCCAAGCGAGATAAGGTCTGTGTTGATAAATATTCCTCTGAAAGACTGTTTGGACAGGCCTTGCTGACTGTGAATGAAAGGAATTCACAGTCATGTAAATAAAAGAGGTTTTGCCGGGACCGAGACTCTGCTTCCTGCTTTTTTAAGGGAGCCTAGGTCAGAACAGCAAGAGGCTGACTCTGTAAACCGCTTAGAGAGGGCTGTAAAAGCACCGTGAAGCGGTATAGAAGTCTTAAGTGCTATTGCTAAGTGCTAAAGAGACCGGGTGGGAGAGAAAGGCCGATGGTCCATGTGGGGGAGGAACGCCGGGGGAGCAGCCTTCTTTGATCTAAGGCCGTGGTTCTCAACCTGCGGTCTCTAGGGGATCCATAAAAGCTTGGAAAAAAATATCATGATTTACAGTATTTTTCAGAGTATAAGATGCACCTCTCCCCCCAAAAGGGGGTGAAAATTTAGGTGCATCTTATACACCTAAGTATGTAGCCCCGCCCACCCACTGGCCCCCACCCTTTGGCCTCTGCCTCCCAGCAGTGTACCTTCCTTGCAGCAAACAGCAAGAAAAAACAGCTCCTTTCAGCTTCAGCACAGCTTAATTAGCACAAGTTGATTGTTGGATCGGCCTCCTGACTCTCAGCTGTTTCAGGCTGCCGGGATTGCCATGGCCTATTGCTGCGTGGGGCCTCTGCTGCTTGCTGCAAGGAGGTAAATTGCTGGGAGCAGATTTTTTTTTTCTTGTGCTAATCAAGCTATGCTGAAAACGAAACTGAAAGTAAAGCAGGCTGTTTGCTGCAAGGAGGCAAAATTGCTGGGAGGCAGAAGCAGATTTATTTTTCTTGTTTTCCTCACCAAAAAAAAGTAGGTGCGTCTTATAGTCTGGAGCGTCTTATACTCTGAAAAATACGGTAAATCTTGAGCTAAGTCTCGGGGGGGGTGTCCCTGGCCACAAAAGTATTTAAAAGGGGGCCCATGGGGAAAGGAAAAGTTTTGAACCAATGGCCTAGGGTGTTTTAGCCCCCACTCAACCTCTCCCTGCTGCCTCTCCTTCCCCCCAGGAGTCGGGCCTCAGCAAACTCTATGTCTTCAACCCCATCTTCGGCAAATGGAGTCAGGTGACTCCCCCGGGGCTGAGCCGCCCCATCCTGCAATCCATCCTGCTTCCCATCATGGACCAGGATTACGCCAAAGTGCTGCTCCTGATCGACGACGAGTACAAGGTACCCCCGTCCCCTTCCTACAGCCTTGGGGAGGGGGGGGGAACGGGTGGGTGGGTGTCGTACTGGCAGGATTCTTCTGGAGAGGCCTGTTAAGGAATTCATGTGCACATGAAAATGATTGAGAGTAGTTAGGAAATAACACAGCCAACACACAGATACACTGAGTTGTGTTTACTTTCAGGAAATAGTAATAAGGCCCAGTCCAATAAACAGTCCAGGTCATTCACATATAAAGCAGTAGATGGTTAAACAATAGTCCAGGGATAATCCAATAACAAAGTCTTCTTACCAGTTGTTGTAGTCATACACGAGTTGCAAACAGTAGCAAACACAGCAAACAGCAGTAAACAGCACACAGCAAAGAGCATCAAAGAGAAACAAACCATGTTTCTAGCTCCCTCTTAAGGACATTGGCTACAGAGCCAACCAATCAGGACACAGTATGATGCAATACAGCAGTTTTAAAGCTATCGATGGTTTATATATTGCCAACCCAAGAAGGTAGGTGAAATCATTTCCTAACATTTCCTATTTGCTTCCCCCCACCCCCCTTAACTCCCTCCGGCAGGTGACGGTCTTCCCGGCCACCAAGAACGTCCTGCGGCAGCTGGAAGAAATGGCCCCCTCCGTCACTTTCTATCTGGCGGACGAGAAACGGGGGAAGCTGATGGGACGGAGGCTGAGAAGGGTACGGCTCCTGGATTCCCAAGCGGGGGGGCAGGGCGGGGGGGGTTGTCAGTGAATTGGAGGGGAGGGGAGGGACGTAAGATTTCTTCTTTTTTTTAGATGAAGGGAAATTTTCTTTGATGTCCTGTTGCTTTGGTCTGACTGGACTTTCAAGCATCAGTCCAGCCAGCCTACTAGGCCTGCCTGCCTGCCTGCCTGCCTGCCTGCCTGCCTGCCTATCTATCTATCTATCTATCTATCATATCTATCATATCTATCTATCTCTATCTTGTATCTATCCATCCATCCATCCATCTCTATCTTCTATCTATCTGTCTATTTGTCTATCTATCTATCTATATCTATCCATCCATCCATCTATCCATCTCTATCTTCTATCTGTCTGTCTGTCTGTCTATCTATCTATCTATCTATCTATCTATCTATCTATCTATCTATCTAT